GGAGTGACCGGGGGACCACGGTGGGGAAAGCGGTAGTAGAAGGTGATGGACTCGTCAAAAGTGACGTCGCGAGAGTGAAAGAAACGGTGAGAAGGCGGGTGGTAGAAGTGCCAGTCAAACGAGTCGAGGGGGAAACCTAGGAAGAAAAAGGGGACAGTGCGGGCAGTGAGCTTGTCCGTGCCAGAGGCACAAACATGAGCAAGGCAGCCCCAGACGAGGAACGCAGACGTGCCACCAGGAGACTCGGTCCAGAGGAGGGTCAGCAAAACCTGCAGCCACAAGTTAAGCTGGTGGGCGGCGTAGCGAATGGCGAACGGCCACAGAAAATGGGGTGCTGGTATGGATCATGAAGGTACGAGCCACCTCCATGTCCAAGCCGATGCATCGCTCAGCGACCCCATTCTGCTGCGGGGAGTCCAGCAGGGTGAACGTCTGGGTAATGCCCTCCGCACGACAGAAGCGACCAAGGCAGCCGGAGGCAAACTCGCCACCACGGTCGGAGTGAAGACACTAGACAAGGAGACCTCGGTGAACACACGCAGAGACAAGCCACGGGATAAGAACGTCGAGCACGTCGACCTTCCGCTCCAGGGGAAACACAGTGGTGTAGCGTGTGTAGTCATCGACAAGCACTAGGAAGTAGCGCTCACGACGCGGCCCATGGACAGGGGCGGGGCCCCAGACGTCCATGTGCAGGGTCTGCAGCGATGCGGCGGTGGGGGGGAACGAGGAGGAGTGAGGGGTACGGCGGAGCCATCCCTCGACGCAGGGCGTCCACGGAGGCACTGGTGAGGAGGGGAGTGCAGGGAACGACTCAGGGAGGCCTAGGACAAGACCGTGCTGGGACATGTGACAGAGACGGGTGAGAGCGGGGTGACCTAGATGGTGGTGCCACAAAAGCGACGGGTGAGTAGGCGACCGACACGAGCAAGCCTCAGCAACTTGGGTAGGCGCTGCTACCTGGGGAGGCGTCCCAACTGGGGTGGAAGCGGTGTCCAGCGTGAACAGGCCAGACACCGGGTCCCGGGGGAACGTGGTGAGGGGGGCACCAGTAGCGGCCTCGGTACAGACAGCGAACCGCTTGTGCCCAGGGAATGTAGTGGTAATGCCAAGGTCCTGGAGGCTACCGACACCAACTAGGTTCCTCGAGAACGAGGGAATGTGCAGGCCTGTAAGGGAGCTTGAGGGAACCGCCGGACAGGGGATGGTGGTGGAGCTACAGGACTGGAGGAAGGGTGTGCAAGAGCTGTTGCGGCGGGAGCGGCAAGCGGCGTAAGCGTAGTGGAGTCCCGAAAGAAACACCGCGAAGCGCCGGAGTCCAGGGTGAAGGAGAGCGCGGCAGTGGCGACAGGGGTCAGAGGAGTGAGGGAGGACCCAAGACTAAGCAAGGCAGGGGATCCTACGCCTAACGCAGCAGGGGAGCCTGAACCAGGCACACTGGGCACACCTACACTAGGCAACACAGGGTAATAGGAACCAGTCACACTAGAGTCATCGATATACATCACATACAAAGCATAGCTAATCTCATCCATGTCCATATCAAAGATCCTAACACCACGATGGAGCAGACTGTGCCAGTCGGGGAGGTCAGACGACGGGCCGAAGCGGAGACGAAATAGGTTATATAGGCGACGGAAGCAACGAGTGGGGCTATGGCCGATCTTACCGCACACGAGGCTGTGGCGAGGACCGGTCTGGAGCTGGTACTGGCAGTGCCCATCACTCTGACTGCCACCTGATGTCACGCTGCATGCATGACCACTGCGACCACAGTCACTGCCGGCGCCAGGCCACCCGGGCGGGAAACGGCCGACCCGCCGCTGCGGCTGCTGCTGCTGCGGCGGCTGCTACTGCTGCTGGTCCAGTGGCGGCACCTGCTGCTGCTGATGCTGAGGCTGCTGCTCTGAAGCACCTGCCCCAGCCCCCTCGTCATTACTACCAGCGGGCGAGCCACCTCCACCACCAGCACCACCCCCTCCTCCACTACCTCCGCCGCGCCCAGCCTTGGGGCGGTGACCCTTACCCGGATGAAACTGCTCTGCGGCGTTTGTCTCCGCAGCAGGAACTGTCTCAGCGACCGCAGCAGAACCGTCAGAGTAAGTGCACTGAGCAGAGGCACAGCCTTGAAAGATAGAGACCGGCACGGTACCGCTAGACTGGGCGATAGAGCGCTGATAAGTCTCTACGGCAGACAGGGTGTCGACAAAGTCAGTGAGGGTGAGGTCAGCAGGGTGGAGACTAAGGAAGTGATCGCGGGCGGTGGCAAGGCTGTCAGGAAGGCGGGTGGCAAGTAAGTAGAGGGTAGATCAGATGGGGGGCTGAAACACACGAAGTTGTGCCTCAGTGCAGGCAGCGCGCCAGGTCGTGTCTAGCGTGCGCAAGTGGGCGGCCAGGTCAGCGACAGTAGGGAAAGACGCGAGATCAGGAAAGATCATGGGCAGGATCAGGCGACCGACGGAGGCACAGGGCAGCGTGGAATAGCGCACGACAACAGCCTCTAGGAACTCCAGCGCATTCCTGACCGACCTAAAGCGGGGGCGCTCGGACAGGGGGAGGGCATGACTAATCGCAAGCTGTACGACAGCGTCAGCGACAACTAGACAGCACGGGCAAGGGCAGCAGTGGCAGCGGACTCATGGTCAGCAGACGTGGGGTCAGCGGGAAGAGGAGCAGGGGGGTCCGGGAAGAGGAGCGTACCGTCGATGTGGACGGCCAGGGAGTGGCCGTCCTGCCGCTGACCAATCAGGTGGCGGCGGAGGTCGACGAGCCACGAGTCGAACTCAGCCGGCTGCCCCTCCGCATCAAAACGCAGGACCGAGTCCGCCATCATGGTCGCTGCAGCAGCAGAACGGCGGTATTGGGCGACTGGGTGCGCTGGGAAGTAGTAATGTGCGGTGCAGTGCTGTACAGTGCGGAAGACGAAGGTGCAGTACAGTAGGGTACGGTGCAGGGCGGTGCGGAGCAGTGCAGTGCGGTGCAGAGGGCCGATGACGTCTAGGAGACGGGGCCGCTAGGCGGGGAGGTGACGGGGCCGGCTAGGCTACGTGGCCGGCTGTGCAACGGGGGCGGTTAGGCGACGGGGCCAGCTAGGGGACGAGGCCGGTCGGGCGACGGGGCCGGCTAGGCGACGGGGCCGGCTGGGCGACGGGGCCGACGAGGCGATGGGGCCAGCTGGGCGACGGGGCCGGCTAGGAGGCGGTGCCTACTAAGAGGCAGGGCCGGCTAGGCTACGAGGCCACCGAAGCGACGGGGCCGGCTTGGCGACGGACGGCCAGGCGACGGGGCCGGCTAGGCAGCGGGGCCGGCTAGGCAGCGGGGCCGGCTAGGAGGCGAGGCCGGCTGGGCTACGGGGCCGGCTAGGCGACAGGGCCAGCTAGGTGACGGGGCCGATTGGGCGACGGGGCCTGCTAGGCGACAGGATCGGCTAGGAGGTGGGGCTGGCTAGGAGGCGGGGCCGGCTAGGAGACGGCGCCGGCTAGGAGGCGGGGCCGGCTAGGAGGTGGGGTCGGCTAGGAGGCGGGGTTGGCTAGGAGGCGGGGCCGGCTGGGCTACGGGGCCGGCTGGGCTACGGGGGCCAGCTAGGCGATAGGGTCGGCTAGGCGACAGGGCTGGCTAGGAGACGGGCCAGCACGTGCGGGAGGGGAACGGGGTGGCTAGGACCTAGGGCGGAAGCGCTAGGGGGCGAGGGGGACCTACTCATGATACCATATCAAAGTTACAACGAATGATTAGAACAATGACATACAATGGAATATAACCTAATGGGTTGTACTCTCTAAGGCACAACCCTGTATAGTCTATAACAACATACAAATATATGTTTGACACAAACAAGCAAATGCTAGGCAGAGAAAACGGTTTTGGAATTCAATTTCGAGTAGATTGGGAAGTATAGTGATGGAACCCCTGGGCTTTGGCGCCAAATCTCAACCATGCCAGCAAGCTTTAGTCCTTGGGATTGGACCACACCTCACCAACCAATCCTAGGATGTCCTGGCCACGCCTAAAACGATTCGCCTATTCTCCCGCATTTGTCTTACCGTATTCTCCCGGATACAGTTCCCGCCGGAATTAAGCTCCCATGGGTGGCTTGAGCGGGTATGGGTGTTTAATTAAACTGGATCTAGTTACCACCCTACTTTTGGGCTTGAAAACAATTGAACACCCCCCGCCACCTAGAATCCTTATTTCGACAGGGAACAACAAAATTTTCCGTGCATAGTTGCGTGCGTAAACGTGAGGGCGATTGGGGGAAACGAGCTGGTGGTCAACCCGAATGTGTCCGAACTGAAAAAAAAAAAAAAAAAAAAAAAAAAAAAAAAAAAAAAAACCTTGAAATCCAACTTGTTCATTCTCGACTCTCGCACCCTCCCACCAAAACAAACCTCCGCTGCCGCCCACTGATTGGAGGCAGCAAGGACGAGGCCTGCAGCACTCGTTGATTGGCTGCTTTGCCAGCCGCGTCCTTGACTCTACTAGTTTAGTTGACGGCGATTTGGCAAGCAGAAGGGCCACACTGTAGGGTACACGATGAGGATACGAGATGTTGATATGTGACACAAACAAAGTGGTGTAACAAGCACAACTATTTTGGAATTGAAAAACGCATATGCACGTTCCATAGAACCATGGTCTTATATTTTTTTGGTCTTTAATGTTAAATTATATATTGAGTTATATAATTGTTAGGCTTGGTAGGTTACCGAACTTTACTGTAGAGGGTACAATCCCCTCCTTGTATGCCTCTCTCTTTCTATTCCAACTCTCTTTTATCTCAACTTTTCTCCTTCCTAAACCTCACGCCACTCCATGGCTCCTCCTAGCTAAACCTCATGCCTTTCCTAGCTTCCTAGCTAAGCTAGCCTTCTAACATTTAATTCCACCCACCCCAAAATTTTCATGAATTTTTATTAGCTCCCTAGGGTACTATATCCGGGAGAATACGGTATTCTCGCTTCTATCAATAGTAGCACTTCGAAAAGATTAGGACATGTGAACCTACTATTAGCAATTTACTTAAACAATAGTTATTTCAAGGTGGAATATGTAACCTTGAGGGCATCTTAGCATCCTGCATACTCAACCAAAAGACTTCATTATTCCACAATCTTTCCTACATGCTGCTATTCTATTCCAGTGAGCTAGTACTCAGCAAGACCATGCCTATGTTGGTGACTCCATCCCAACCATTACCTAACTTTCTGTCTGCTCAGTGACAGCACGGGGGGTGTTGTAGCCCTTCTGCTGGCCCCGTGGCCTATTGAATCCTCACTCATCCCCAAACCAGTTCGTCCGCACACTCTCCTCCCTCTTCCCAGCATCAGCCACCTCTCCCCACCACCTGCAGCAGCACCAGCGGTGGTGGCATGGGGGGTGTAGATCTCCTGCTGTTCCCGGGGCCCCATGAAGCCCCTTACTCATCTCCGCCCCACTTCTTCCGCACACTCTCCTCCCTCTTCCCCGCATCCCCCACCTCCTCACCACCACCGGCAGCAGCACCAGCGGTGGCGGCACGGGGGGTGTACACCTCCTGCTGTGACCGAGGCCCCTTAAAGCCCCTCAGCACAAAGAGGATGCAGTTGATGACGAACGCCACAATGCGAAGGCCTTGAGTAAACAGCAGGTACTGTTGAAGGGGGGGAAGTGAGGGCGGGGGGGGGAGAGAGAGAAAGAAAGTTGTATATTGGTCCCTCGCTGGTCCACGGGCACCCTTGAAGCCCCTGAGCACGAAGAACGCAGTTGATGAGGAACGCCACCATGCAAGCAAAGGGCCTGGGTGAACAGGAGGTGCGGCGGGGATGGGGGGCGGGGGAGACATGAAGTGGGGAGGGCGCAACAGGGTGAGACATTGACCTCCTGCTGTGCCCGAGGCCCCTTGAAGCCCCTCTGCACGAAGAGAACGCAGTTGACGAGGAACGCCACGATGCCAAGGCCCTGGGTGAACAGCAGGTGCTACTGGGGGAGGGGGGGGAATTTGGGGAGGGCGAGGAGACGGAGGAGACAGGGAGAGTGGGAGATATCGCCTGCCCCCTTGGCCCCTCGAAGCCCCTCAGCACAAAGAGAACGCAGTTGATGAGAAACGCCACCATGCCAAGGAGGGGGATTTTTTCTGGGGGGGGGTGGGGGTGGGGGTGGGGGTTGGGGGGGGGGGGGGGGGGGGGGGGAGGGGAGATGGAGGAGAGGAGACAGGGAACGAGTGAGATATGCCCCCCTTGCTGCCCCTTGAAGCCCCTCTGCACGAGGAGGATCCAGTTGATGAGGAACGCCACGATGCACAGGCAGTAGCTGGGTAAGCAGCAGGTATTGTGAGGAGGGGGAACAGGGTGGGCCAGTTAGTCAGGTGGGGGGGGAGGAGGAGGCGGGGTGAGTGGGCGGGGCGGGGATGTGGGGTGGGGAGGGCGAGCCATTGGCTGGATGGATGGAGAGCTGAGTGTGTGGGCGAGAAACACAAGGCGCTTCAAGGTGAGTGAGGTGATGCAGAAAAGAAAAACTCACAATGCTGAGCATGCCGCCAAGAACAAACTGTACCTGCTTCGTCTCCTCCCACCATAGAGGCGATTAGGCGATTCAATCCTCCCACCATAGAGGCGATTCAATCCTCCCACCCAACCATCACCATTGGCACCAGGCGGGCAACCCCCCAACAAGGACAAAGAGAGCCATATAGAGGCAGCCAACTCACAATGCCCACAATGCCGCCGATGGCGAACAGAACCTGCTTCGTCTCCTCCCACCGCTCGTCTCCCCCCCCGCTCACACCATCCCCATCGCCTCCCCCTCCTCCGCCGCCTCCCCCCCACCCCCTCCCCCGGCCCCCGCCCCCACCTCCCCCTCCCTCCTCGCGCTTTTTAATCTCCGCATCCCACTTGTTCAGAAGGTCCTTCTTGCCGGATAAAGCATCCTCTAACGCCTTTCTCGCTGCGTCCTGTAGAAGGGGCGGACACATGAGTGGGCAAGCGGGGAGAAAGGGGGAGGGAGGGGGTGGGTGAAACGGATTATTCTCGCCTCGTGATCGCCGCGTCCCACTTGTTCAGCAGTGCTTCTTGCCTTGTTCTTGACAGCGCGTCCTCTAGCGCCTTCCACGCTGCGTCCTGTGGGGGACACGAAAGGGCAAGTGGGCGGTGGCAGGGAGGGGGAAACAGGTGTGAGTCAGGGTGGGCTAGAGGTATCGCCTATTGATCTGCCGCGCCCCACTTGTTCAGCAGGTGCTTCTTGCCTTGTTCTCGACAGCGCGTCCTCTAGCGCCTTCCGAGCTGCGCCCTGGACACGGCGATCAGAAAGGGAGAGTAACGAATGGACAAGTGGAAAGGGGCAAGTGGAAGGACGGAGGATGGGACGGGGAAAGAAAGGATGGACGGCGGGGGAGACGCGAAAGGCGTGTGAACTTCCCCACCCCACACGGTTGCGGTCAGAAAACAAATATTGCGGAACAGAACGCGAGCCATTCGCCTGGATGCGATATGTTTGGAAAAATAAAGGGTTCCTGCGTCGCCTTAGAAACCCTGGCAAAACCCTGGTAAAGGTGTTTGGACGACATCGATTTGCTGCACAATGACTCGAAAGTATAACAGCGCGACCGATGGAGTTGATTATTTTGGAAAAGGGCGACGGTATTTGTATCGCAAATTATTGTAGACGCAAAGGAGTGCTGCAATCATACGACATTGTTCTCTTATACTCCTTGTTGCATTCTACAAAGGCTCCTAAAGAGTGTGGGACTCACCTTTTTATCGGCTCGGCACGCAATGCTTGGCCTCCTGCCACTCGTGTGCTGCAGGATGGGTTGTGTCCGCCTACGAAGGTGATACCAAGTTCTAGAGATTAAGTAGACTCACCTTTTTATCGGCTCGGCACGCAATGCTTGGCCTCCTGCCATTCGTCACCGCGCTAAAACCAAGCCCTGACTTCTCGATCCTAGGGCCCAACGAGCACGCGACACGTGGCCTTCTGACGAGTAATGACGGGCTGTGGGAGGTTGACGATGCGTGGTGGATGTCTTGATGGCCGTCTAAACAGCCGGAAGTCGTCAAGAAAGAACGCTTAGCCGGCATAGCCAACTGTGAAGTGCACGTCGCCATGGCGCGGCCCAGAGACCTAGTCGCCTGGAGAATAAATCGACTGCCAAAGGGAGTCAAGCCGAGGCGAGATTACGAAATTGAGTACGCAGCGCTGAAGCTTAGAGCGTGTCGCCCGGATGAAGCGTTAGAGGAACAGGTTAGTTTCTGAAAGCTAGTGGTATCTGCTGCGGATAAGGCTGACTCAGCAGCACGAGCAGCAGCTGAAGGAGCCACAGCGGCAGTAGCAAGGGGAAGAAAAGGGGAAGGTGAAAGCCTTGGTTCCCGTTTTAAACATATTCGATTTTAGTTCGAAAGCCTCTCTCTAGAAAGCTTTCGCAAAAGTTGGTTTCACAAAACGCTACACCCACTTTAGCGAAGGGGTGCTGTAGCATCAACTTCGAGATTACCCTCCCATTCCGAGCCTGCGAATTCGGAAGGCTTTGCTGCTGGCAGTAACAGAAACGTCGCCAGCATCGCTCTCATTAGCGCGCAGCACAGCCGTTCGCGGAGCAAGCACAGTTTGCGCGAACAAATATTTTTTTTCGCGAACGGGGAGCATCGGCTTCGAGTCTCCACCCAAAGCCCGATCTGCAATCGCAGCAACAGCAGGCAGCTAGTCTTAGACCTCCGCGCCTTGCGCTTCTTCCTCTTACCTCTTTCTTCTTTCGCTCGCACGCCTATCTCAGCGCGATAGCGTGCTGGCAGGAAACCCCTAAGGCCGAGCAGTCGGTCATTGAACCTGTAACGATCGCTGATTGGTCAACCTCCTGCTAATTGCTACCACTGCTGCTGTTAGCCGCCCTACTTGATTCGACGCTGCTGGCCAGCCGCATCGATTACTCCTCTCCCTTTCGTCCCGCTGTAGTTAGACGAAGCAATGGCTCTGTTCCGTGCGCGGCTCGGCGGATTCTTAGCGGGATTCGCGGTGGCGTCGGCAGGAGCGATGTACCTTCTACAGCGGGATCTCTTAGCGAGTCATAAAGTGCTCACGGAGCAGGTGAGGCCTGTACCGATTCAGCTTATATCGGACCAGCGACGAAAGACTGACGCCCTAAGGGGAACCACGGCGACATTGCACATGGCTTATGCTGCGCCGTAACGTCAATGACCGAACATTGACGTGGGGTTCTGATTAATCACTGATCATTGGGTTCTCTCACTGACGTCAATGTTCCTTCAAGGGCTTGTCACTTGTCGCTGCCCTGCCCCTCACTCGCTCATATCTGCACGGGGTGGGGGGGGGGGGGGGGGGGATGCAGTGCTGCAGTAAGGCTCTCTTTTTCACTTGTCGCCCTTTCCATCCTCTCACTTGTCACCATGATGCATGGCGTATCATGATGCATGGCATATCATGATGCATGGCATATCATGATGCATGGCACACCATGATGCATGGCACACCATGATGCATGGCACACCATGATGCATGGCGTATCATGATACATGGCACACCATGATGCATGGCATATCATGATGCATGGCACACCATGATGCATGGCACACCATGATGCATGGCGCATCATGGCAGGCGGAGGTCTACAATGCTGCAGTGGTGGCTCGTCTATCCAGACTGGAGAATCTAACGGCCTCCCTGGCAGATGCGCACTCACACACGCATTTCCTCTCCCTCCCCCCCTTTCCCCTTCCCCCGCCCCCCTCCCAAATCGGCATGGCATGCAAATGCACACCATGTCAGGCGGAGGGGTACAATGCGGCTGTGGAGGCTCGTCTATCCAGACTGGAGAATCTAACGGCCTCCCTGGCAGATGCGCACTCACACGCGCATCAGTCTGCTGCTGAGGTACTCTAGATGGATGTGATTATACATGCGTGTGTGACTCTCTGCAGACACTCACACACGCTCGAGTCTGCTACTGAGGTACTCTTGTGGGATGTGACTGCAGATGTGGAGCGTTGTTGTATATTGTGACGACTGGTTGGATTGCATGCTCATGTGACAATGCATCATCACACTCTCATTGTTCCCGTCTGGTCGCCTTGGTATGGTAACAAGGTACCGTACCATGGGTGAGTGAGACTAGACTAGGCACATGCGCTCGCCTGCACAGGTGACCCCTCCCCTGCTTTCTCACTCTCATGCATGCATGCACGATCATAAACATGTGCATGTCTTTTGAGGGTCTACAAACGGAAGCACGCGTGTGTTCGTGCATGCATGCATGTAAATCCTTTTGCTACACTACTGTCTTGCCCCATTTCATCTTGCTGCTTGCTGGTCCCGTATTGTTGTGATAGATGCTGCTGCTGTTGGTAATTATCTCGCCCAAGTGTCTCTGATCTGTTGCTCCTGTTGCTCTGCTCTGCTCTACCACTCTTGCTGCTGCAGGCTCATCAGTGACGCATTTGGCAGTGTTTCGTTGGTGAACCTTGTGTAGTTTACGTGCACTCCAGAAGTGGCAGCTGCAGTAGACAGATTTGACAAAAGAAACAAATGGAGATTCATGGCAAAAAACACAAGCTACCAGAAACGATGGAGGCCAACTTCTTGAACTTTATTGTATAGTAGATTCTTGAAAACGAGACTCTGGCTCCAGGTTCTGCCAGCTTCTGTAGCTTCTGTAATTTCTGCAGACATGATTCACAGATGAAGAAGGGGATGGATGGAGCACCACCACACGATGGAGAAAGGCGCGCAACAGAGATGGATAGTAAAAATCATGGGGGAGGGTTGTAGGCTTGTTGCCAACTCTGTAGATCCTGTGGTGTAAGCAGTTGTGCAAGCAGCATCGCACAGTAGTTTGCACAATGTAAGTGATCAGAGACTCACCGCTACTGCGGACCGAACTTGAAGTGGTTGATAGCCTCACCGATGCCCTCTGCACACTGCTTGGCGGCTCAGAACACATGGTCCATTCTGTGGAGCGACTTACCTCTCTCGTAGCGCAAACTCACTAGGAGTGGGTGGGAGGGACCTCACCACTGCTATTGCACTCCGAACTTGGACGTGCTTGACGGTTTCCATACCACTTAGTGGCCTTCCGTGAGGAGTCTTTTTTTGAGGCGCCTAAAAAATCGACACCGAAATTGGGCGTGCTTGACGGTTTTCATACCGCTTGGTGGCCGTCAGCACATGCTCCGTGCTGTGGCCATTCGCCTTACCTTGGTTGCTGCGGTGCCAGCCACTCACAGGGAGAGATACGAGACTGACCACTGCTGCGGACCGAACTTGAAGTGGGTGATGGGATGACTGCTATGACGCCCAACGACTCAAAAGTGACTTTTGAGTCGACTCAAAAGTCCCCCAAGTACCGCTTTGTGGCCCCCTAGCAACACATGGTCCAGCTGCGACCAGTCTTACCAAAAGGAGAAACCAACTGGAGGTGACTCACCGCTACTGTGGCCCAAACTTGAAGTGGTTGATAGCCTCAATGATGCCTCCGGCGCACCGCTTGGTGGCCCGGAACACATGGTCCGTGCTGTGATGCGCCCTGTGCCACTCCACTAGTTCCTCCATTGCGTTGGATACCTGGACGGGGAGGGGGCCGGGGGGGTGGAGGAGAGGGGAGAGAGTGAGAAGACTTGCAGGATGTGGGTTGTGGTGCTTGCTGTGGTGCCAGCCTGTGCCACTCCTCTAACTCCTCCTTTGCTTGTGCTGGACACCTGCAGCAATGGGAGGGGGGAGAGATAGAAAAGAGCAGGCAGATACATCTCAAGGACCGCAAGGAAGAGGGTTACAGGGAGCGGTGGGGAAGAGATGCACACGCCACATGCCAGGGTGTGCCTGGGAGGGTTCCCACTCTGCTCTCTGGGCAGGCAGGCAGGCGCGACAGATACACTTTTGAGAATTCTCAAAATCTATCACGGTTCCCACTCAGCTCTCTGAACTGTCGCAGCCGATACGGAGTCATTGCAGCAAGCTTTTGAGTCGACTCAAGAGCAGCCAGTATGCCATACCAGAGTCCACCCTCAGTACAATTCCACAACCGCCCCCCACAATCACGCCGTACGCCCCATCCACTTGGAACAGCGCAGCATCGTTGCCCGAGTCACCACACGCCAGGGTGTGTCTGCCTGGGCGGGCAGCCACTCTGCTCCCTGAACTGCCGCGGCAGGTACACTGTAGCAAATGTGCTGCAACACAATCACCACCATATACAGCAACAGCCTTCGCCCTTCACTTACAATCACGCCATAGGCCCCATTCGCTTCAAACAGCTCAGCATCGTTGTCTGAGTCGCCGCATGCCAGAGTGTGCCTGGGCGGGCTCTCGCACTCAGCTCCCTGAACTACAGAGTCATCGCGGCAAGTATGCCAGACCACAGTCACCCCTCAATGTTAGAACACAACCCCTTCTCACTTACAATACCGCTGTAGCCCCCATCCAGTTCGGACAGCACAGCGTCGTTGCCTGAGTCACCACACGCCAGGGTGTGTATGGCTGGGCGGGCTGCCACTCTGCTCCCTGAACAACACAGAGAGTCACTACAACAAGCCCGCCACGCCACACCAGAGCCAACCCTCAATACAATGCAACAACCGCCCCCCTCACTTACAATCACGCCGTACGCCCCGTCCATTTCGAACAGCTCAGCATCGTTGCCCGAGTCACCACACGCCAGGGTGTGTCTGCCTGGGCGGGCTGCCACTCTGCTCCCTTCAACAGCTATAGCAGATACACTGTAGCATGCACTGCAACACAGCCACCACCCATTACAACCACACCACCACCCCCTCACTCACAATCATGCCGTACGCCCCATCCACTTGGAACAGCTCAGCATCGTTACCCGATTCACCACACGCCAGGGTATGCCTGGGCGGGCTGCCACTCTGCTCCCTGAACAACACAGAGAGTCACTACAACAAGTCCGCCACGCCACACCAGAGCCACCGCTCAATACACCAGCACAAGCCCTTCTCACTTACAATCACGCCATACGCCCCATCCACTTGGGACAGCTCAGCATCATTGCCCGAGTCACCGCATGTCAGGGTGTGGCTGGGCAGGCCCCCACTCAGGTCCCTGAACGCCACAGTGTCACAGCGGCCGGCCGGTACGCCCAGCCTCCCCAGATTTCCCCTCAGTACAAAACCACGAGCCTTTCTTCCACTTACAATCACACCGTGCGCCCCATCCCCTTCGAACAGCTCAGCATCGTTGCCCGAGTCACCACACGCCAGCGTATGCTTGGGCAGGCTGCGATTCTGCTCCGTGAAGTGCTGCAGCAGGTGCCCTAAACACCAGAGTCGGCACCCACTACCACAACCACCCTTGACTTACAATCAAGCCATAGGCCCCATCCACTTGGAACAGCTCAGCACCGTTCCCGGAGTCACCACACGCCAGGGTGTGTCTGCCCGGGCGGGCTCCCACTCTGCTCCCTTCGACAACTGTAGCAGATACACTGTAGCATAAACTACAACACAGTCACCACCAAATACAACAACCACTCCTTCCACTTACAATCACGCCGTACGCCCCATCCACTTCAAACAGCTCAGCGTCGTTGCCCGAGTCACCACACGCCAGCGTATGCTTTGGTGGGCTGCCACTTTGCTCCTTAAACTGCCGCAGCAGGTACGCCATGGCCTGCCCCTTGCCCGCGCGCTCAGGAAGGATATCCAGGTCGTAGCCCCCGCTGTAGATCACCTTCGCCTTCAGCTGGGATAAAGGGGGGGGGGGGGGGGTGAAGGAAGGGGAACATAGCAGAGGGGCAGAGGGAGTGTGAGGCAGCAGGTACGCCACGGCCTGCCCCTTGCCCGCGCGCTTGGGGAGCATGTCCAAGTCGTAGCCACCACTGTAGATCACCTTCGCCTTCAGCTGGGATAGGGGGGGGGGGAGAAAGGACGGGGAGCAGAGATGCAGAGGGTAAGAAGCAGCACATACGCGATGGCCCGAGGTCACATATACCCATACAATCACAACAATAAAAAAACCCCCTACAATCACAACAATAAAAAAACCCCTATAAGCACAAGCCCTGACAATCACACACCCCCTCGCTGCAGCAGCTTGCTCCTGAGGCCCTCACCATATTTCCTGCCTTATAATTATCCAGGTGAAAGCTGACCTTGTGCGGCCTACACTCAGACCGCCCTATAAGCCTATACAACCCTACAATCACATTATCATACATGCACAAACCCCTAGAGCAACGTACCCCTCGCTGCTGCAGCTTGCTCCTGAGCTCCTCCACCACATTGCCCGCCTTGTCCTTCTCCAGGTGAAAGCTGACCTTGTGCGGGCGCTGCTCGGACTCCGCCTGTAACAGTTGGGGGCGGGGTGGGAGAAGCAGGGGGACAAAAACGTGCTAAAGAGGCTGAGAATGTATCAATGGCTTTCCACAAATGGACTTCCTCTGTTACTGCTAAGAGCAAGGCGAGAGAGCGAGGGGAGGGAGTGTGGAAGTGCAGTGGTGGGGGGTGTATGTGTGAGTGAGTGAGTGAGTGAGTGAGTGCGTGAGTGAGAGTGTGAAACTGAGAGAGGGAGTGAGAGGGGTAAGGGTGGGAAGGAGGGAGGGAGAGTGAAAGTGCGTAGAGTTTTGGATCGGCGCATTTCAAAGAAGATTCCTTTTTACAGCGTTCTCAAGCAGCCTACAACAGTCCCTCTGCTATAGAGGACCCCCATACCACCCAAGCATCGCTCCAGCCACGCACCAACCCACTGGACTCTGAGCATGGGCCCAGCTGAAACCCGAACTGTTGGAAATGCGTTGCCTCCTACACCACCACATCTACATCCCTGTCCTCCCATGGTCCAGGTGCTCCTCCCACCCCCTGGCGTCAACCCACAGCAGCACTTCACAGCACCTTGCCATCCTTTTTGAGGCGCCTCAAAACTGCCATCCCTCCATCCCTGCAGCAACCCACCTGGAACCTACCAGGAGTTAGAGCGCCAACCCACCTGGAACCTACCAGGAGTTAGAGCGCCAACCCACCTGGAACTTACCAGGAGTTAGAGCGCCAACCCACCTGGAACCTACCAGGAGTTAGAGCGCCAACCCACCTGGAACGTACCAGGAGTTAGAGCGCCAACCCACCTGGAACCTACCAGGAGTTAGAGCGCCAACCCACCTGGAACCTACCAGGAGTTAGAGCGCCAACCCACCTGGAACCTACCAGGAGTTAGAGCGCCAACCCACCTGGAACCTACCAGGAGTTAGAGCGCCAACCCACCTGAACCTACCAGGAGTTAGAGCGCCAACCCCCCTGGAACCGTAGATGCGGGAGCTTTGCCTTCTGCACCATCACCTGCCTGCCTGTCCTATCCATCGCCCAGGCACTCCTCCCACCCCTGTCTGGCTGCAGTGCAGCCCCACAATCACCAACCCACTTGGGACCATAGCCCTTGGAAATGCGTAGCCTCCTGATTTGACTCACCTGGGACCGAAGCTGTGGGAAGTGCTTGGCTTCTTCCACTACAGCACTCCTGTCCCACCCGTCGTCCAGGTACTCCTCCCACCCTTTATCCGGCTGCATGGAGGCGCCATAGTCACCAACCCACCTGGAATCTGAGCACCAAACACACCTGAAATCTGAGCTGTGAGAATCCCTTCGCTTCTTCCACCACAGCCTGCCTGTCCAACCCGTCGCCCAGGTACTCCTCCCACGCTTTATCCGGCTGCATAGCAGCGCACAGTTTGAGTGCGAACCCACCTGGAAACTGAGTGCGAACCTACCTGGAACCGAAGCTGTGGGAAGTGCTTGGCTTCTTCCACTACAGCACTCCTGTCCCACCCGTCGTCCAGGTACTCCTCCCACCCTTTATCCGGCTGCATGGAGGCGCCATAGGTTATCTCTGTGCCCACCGACATGATCACAATGTCTGGGGTGGGTGGAGGGGGAGGGCGGAAAGAAGAAGGATGGCGAGGGGGGGGGAGAGGGAAGGGAGAGGTGAAGGCACAATAGGTTATCTCTCAGCCCACCGACATGATCACAACGTCTGGGGTGGGTGGAGGGGGAGGGCGGAAAGAAGAAGGATGGCGAGAGATGGGGAGAGAGAAGGGAGAGGTGAAGGCACAATAGGCTATCTCTGAGCCCACCGACATGATCACGACGTCTGGAGTGGGTTGGGGGGAAGGAGCAGAGAGTGGAGGGCGAATCAGCACTAGCAGAAACACAGTTAGATGATATTAGCGCCTCAAGGTTGAGCAAAAATGTCGTCTCAGCGACCATGTACCAGGGAGCAGCGAACATGGTGAACCTGGTCTGAGCAACAGCTCACCTGGTGTGACTCGATGAGCAGCAGCTTACCTGGTCTGAGCAACAGCTCACCTGGTGTGACTCGATGAGCAGCAGCTTACCTGGTCTGAGCAACAGCTCACCTGGTGTGACTCGATGAGCAGCAGCTTACCTGGTCTGAGCAACAGCTCACCTGGTGTGACTCGATGAGCAGCAGCTTACCTGGTCTGAGCAACAGCTCACCTGGTGTGACTCGATGAGCAGCAGCTTACCTGGTCTGAGCAACAGCTCACCTGGTGTGACTCGATGAGCAGCAGCTTACCTGGTCTGAGCAACAGCTCACCTGGCGTAAGCAGCGGCACTTGGCCTTTGAGCTGGGCGTAGAGGGTGGGAGAACGGCCAGTGGAGTAGACGAGCAGCGAGTCACGGGAGAACGAGGACTGCCAGAGAGAGGCGAACTCGCGGAGAGACTCGTGGTTGGGGTCCTTGTGATCCACCTGATCAGGTGGAAACAACAGAGCAATCAGGTGGCGTCGAAAGCAAAAGTCAGGGAGAGAGAAGCTCTAAGTCGCGAATCTGAGACATCATAAGTCGACGGAGACTAGTCAGTACGCAATATAGGGATTTAGAAGGCGAGATGAGTGAAGAGGAATGGAAGTCGCTCACGACGGAAACTACGTGAACAGGCAGGAATGCTACGAATTTGAGTGGGAAACCAAAATGAGCAGCCTCTGATGCCTAGGAACTTCAGCAAAAAGAGCAATCGTTCGCGGGAAAGAGGAGACCGGAGTGAGGAATTCGACGGAGGGAAAACGAGGAAGGGGAGATTGGACGGGGAATCTGGGATGGCGAAAAACGCCATGGTGTTGCCAAGGGTCAGAAACTATCATCAGGTCGACGCTTCGCTTAAAAATGTCACTCCCACTCCCATTGGAGGCCCCCGACGCTGCTACTACTACTGCAACAGATCGCTGATTGTCAGTACTAGCTGGTCGTGGGTGAATTTGAGAAGCGGGAATTTACCACGGTGTTGTCAAGGTCGGAAAGACCATCAGGTTGATGCTTCGCTGGGAAGCGTGGATAGGACGGGGAAACTGAGAAGCGGAAATTTACCATGGTGTTGTCGAGGTCGGAGACGATCATGAGGTTGATGCTTCGCTGGGAAGCGTCAATCGTGATTGGCGGAACCACTCCAACAGAAAATTCGGCAAGGATTATGGAAAGGCGGGAATTACCATGGTGTTGTCGAGGTCGGAAACGATCATGAGGTTGATGCTTCGCTTGAAGATGTCACTCCCGTTAGAGGCACCCGGCGCTGCCATGACGACTGCCGATCGCCGGTTAACGCGCGGTGATCGTGGGTGAATCTGGAAGTCGAGCGCTGGCGGGGATATCTGTGTTGTTATCTGTGAGGTCGATTTCAGCGAGTACGATTTAGGAAGAGGAAGGAAACCTGATGACAGTCGGTTGGGTGAGCACAACGAAGAAGATCCGCGATCGGCGAGAATGGCTGACGGATACTGAGAAACAGTCAGGGATTTCAACGATGACATTCGGATAGACAAGCGTGGGTGCAGCTGAAACCGGAATCTCTCTCGAAAGATCTGGAGGAGTGTGCAATGCGACCACGGATTCCTTGCACTGCACAACGCTTGAAGCTCACAGCACGGAATGGCCCACTAAAGGAGGATTCAAGAAACCGCGAGGATAGGAGGAGCGCCTGCAGCAGTTCAGGAAGAACCGTGTAGTCCACGCGACGGAATCATGACCCACTCGGAACGGAAATGAAGAAATCGAGGAGATTCCAAAATCGGGAGACGAATTCCGTCCACTCCACACCAGACCGAGCGCAGGCGACGAGTGAGCAGAGCAGCCACTGGCCGACGCTCCTGATGGAATGGACAGCTCCGTTTTGCTATTGGAGGGTGTCGGCGAATTCGAAGTGTAACCGGTATAGATTCATAATTGTATCTCGACCTATGATAACTTTTATCTTGCTTAACTAGTGAGAAAAAAATGCATTCAGGAGAGTTTCCTAAACACCAGCTTAAGCTCTGTTCTACCAATGTATTTAACACATCTTTTCCTCTTCCGCTCCCCTTCCATTGCCCCATCTTGCTTCCCTGCGGTTGCTTCGCCTCCTAATGGTGGATGAGCAGCACTAGCTGTGGCAGTGGATTGGGCTGATGTGTTGGTGGAAGGGGCAGCAGCACCATGCACAAGAGCTGCAATGCAAGGGGAAGGGGACAAGCCACAGGAAGAAAGACGTAGGTAATCCATGTGTTTTTTTTTAGTGCCTCTGAAGAAATTGGAGCACGAGCTGATAAATAGTGCATTCAGTGCAATAAATAACAATATCATTCAAAACAGCTCATACAACTGTCCCTCCTCGCTTCAACCCCCAACCCCTCCGTACACCCCTTCCCCCTTATCACTCTCAAGGAAAAAACATGAACGGCGAGGAAGGAACAAAACCTACCCCCCATCGACTTACACTCTTGAAAGAAGAGGCAGGAACCGAGAGTCTCCTCATAGCTCCCAACCTGATGCGATAGCGAAGTGGAGAGGTGAGAGACGAGGCAGAGAGGAGATACGTAGAATAGAGCAGCATAGAAGGTGGGAGCCATGACAGAAACATCCAAAGAAAATGGCGCGTGGATAAATACAATTGCATGGCTTATACAGGAATGTCACATTATAGTGAATATTGCCCTCCATTTAGCAGAAATGGGTGGAGACATGTCCTACATGAGATTTTTTGGGGTAATGTGGTGGTTCACGCTGATGTCGCATGTGGCTTACCAGCATGCTGCCATCTGGCAGGTGCAGTGTTGGCGCCTCCGAATCCAGATTCTGGACATGACACGTGGCATACCATGTATGGTGGGAGAAAACACATGCGGTTTCACAGATGATTGAGCATATTGCATTCCATGTCATGTCACACGAACATAAAACATTCCATAATACATTTCATTCATACACACGCATATATGCACTGCACAGTGCACAACCGTGTGCATGACATGCCATGCATGATTCTGCATTCACCCACGGTGGTGGTGGTGATTCTCAAAAGTACACCCCAGCAGATTGCAACACGGTGATTGTTACGACAATCATGATAAATTTTCCTCACTATAAGTTCCTCCTTCATTTGCTTGCCTCAATCCCTCCCCTCAAACCCCTGTGAAACGATCCTCAATGCAGCGCATGCATACTATAGCAATGTGAAACTAATGTAAAAAAGGAGGCATCCTGAAACAGGACAACGTCCCTCGCCACGGTCCACTTGAACCCCCCCCTCCTTCCCCCCTCCCCATTTACCTCAAGAATGAGTCGACAGTTTCGTGGCAACCTTCTAACCGCTTGGCTCAAGTCCAAATATACGTATTCCTCCTCTTCCTCCTCTTCTTCCTCCTCTTCCACTTTCTCCTTCTCCTTCTCCTCCTCCTCCCCTCTCTCTGCTTCCCCTCTCTCCTCCCTCTGTTCCACTCCACCCCCCTCTACCGCCTCATCCCCCCGTTTCTCTGGACGAGTCCCTCGCCCCCTCGAACCCTCTGCTTCTCCTCCTCCCCCTTCCTCTCCTTCTCCTCCTCCCCCTTCCTCTCCTTCTCCTCCTCCCCCTTCCTCTCCTTCTGCTCCTCCCCCTTCCTCTCCTTCTCCTCCTCCCCCTTCCTCTCCTTCTCCTCCTCCCCCTTCCTCTCCTTCTCCTCCTCCCCCTTCCTCTTCTTCTCCTCCTCTTTCTCCTCTTGCTCCTCCACTTTCTTCCTCCCCAACATCTCTTCTTCCCTTTTCCCCTCCGCCTCTTTCTCTTCCTCCGTCTTCCTCCTCCCGCCCTTCTCTCGAATGATCTCCCTCTTCCCCCCTTCCTTCCACATCCCCCCCTGCCTTGCGAACATGACTGCCGCCGTCACGAACAATACCGTCGCCGTCACGAACAATACCGTCGCCGTCACGAACAATACCGTCGCCGTCACGAGTAAGATTGTTGCCGTCACGAGCAAGACGATCGCCGTGACGAACTTGACGGTCGCCGTCACGAACCTCGGTCGTCGTCATCGTCTGCGCCTGCTGCTCACCACCACCTCGCCTGCGGTGACACCCTAAATTCGGTCACCAGATCTAACGCAATCCAATGTAAAGAATAATAGTCCAACTTAAAAGCTGTATCCACTTCAGTTTCCACGACGACTAGTCCTGTCGAGAATTCGCTGCTCCTCGCCTATGTGTCGCTGGCCACATCCCTGCTCCTGGTTGGCTGTGTTAAACTACATTGTCCCTAACCTTTGAGCTCCATTGTCCCAAAGCCATGGCGGTTGCGCGGCTTCACGAAACGGGTAATGGAGCCTCGTACAACTCGCGAGAGTTCGCGACTTCGCGACTAGGTACCGTCTGAGTCGCCGCTAAAAGTCAATGGAGGCGTGTGAGTTCTGGCGGGTTGCGGCCGTCGATACTAGGAATGGGGGTGCGTTCTAGGGCGCTGGTGGCTCGTGTTCTCGTGTGTCGCGGCAGGTTCCAGGGAGGAAGGACGCCTCACGACGAGCAAGGATATGGCGGGGTGATCAGTTCTGCTAGGCGATAACTTTCCCAGGTGTAACAGGTACACTCTGCGCTGCAAGCATCCCCGATACAAGCACACTGTGCCTGCCCTGCCCACATCAAAATCTTGCGTCCAACAACAAAAATTACAAGCATTGTACACTCATAGGACCGATGGGGAATGCTTCACAATGAGGTAGGCCTTTGTACAACATGACAACCACCAATGTACAAGAACGGAGAAATCCCTTGGTTAGCTAGCGATGACAGGCTTCGGCTAGGTGGTTAGAATGATTGCACACTGACTCATTGAAAGCTCATTAAGGTTTTCCACCAATACTAGCATCAGAAAAAAAAACATATGTACAACATGAAAGCAGGCAAGGATAAGGGGGGAGGATCACTTGGCCAGCGAAGCCAGGATTCGCCTAGGAGGCTCGAACGACCGCCGGGAGTGCTGAGCAGTGAGGTTGTCCACCAATAGCACGTCGCCACATTGCCATGGCACAGCCACTGCCAGCCTCTCCATCTCCTCCTCCACCGCCAAAACCGCCTCCCCCGGTAACGCCTCCCCGTCACCGAATGTTACCGCCTTGGTGGGATCGTTACGCACGTCCTTCCAACCCGTGTATGCCGCTACCATGCTGTTGAACCACGCCTCCCGAACATCATCCTCCCAAACCTCTTTCCCAACCTGAGAGTCATCCCGGACCTCATTCCGAGCCTGACCACTGCTGTCATCCCCTCCCGTCTTTGTCTTGGTGAGCGTGTGTTGTGTGAGAGATGGTAGAGGTCTGGTGTCCACCCTAAGGGCGGGGATAGGGCCGGAGACAGTCCGAACGCTGCCATCCGCCTGCCACTCTAGCTTCACTCCAAGCTTAGCCGCCCTGAATGCTCAGGGGGGAAACAGAGGGCAAACAAAGTGGGGGCGTAAAAAGGACGAAAAGTGCGAGGCACCATCAGAAGGAGCATGCTGCAGGGCATGCTGCAAGGCACACATAGCCAATCCTTAAGGCTCCTAAAAAATCATGCTGCAGGGCACATGACCAGCCAATCTAGCCTCCTTCATGAGTTGTCCATTGTGGAGGGGTGCGGAAAGAAGGGCTGGGATGTGGGAGAGAAGGGGCAGGACGGAGGGGAAGAGCAAGTGAAGAATTTCTTTAAGCCTCTTCCTTGCTCTCAGTCAAGAAAGTTGACTTCCAACCACGTCCGATGGCACTGGATGGAGCATCCACCTCGGGTGATTTTTGAGTCGACTCAAAGAGCATCCGCCTCTAGCAACACCCTCACGTACTGAAGCCCTTTAGCCCTCAGCTGAGCCTCAAGCGCGAGCGAGGTGCCTCTTGAACCTCTTGGCCACACGTACTTGCTACATGCAGATCTGTGAGCGCAGTGAGCGCCTCAAAAATAGAAACGTACTTGCTACATGCATTGAGCACTCACTTCTCTTCCGCCTCCTGCTTGGCTTCACTGAGGAACGTTGACTTCCACCCGTGTCCGATCGCTCTAGTCGTATCGTCCTCCTCTGGCAACCCGCGCACATATCGGAGCCGCTTTGCCCTCACGAACGAGGGATGCTTTTTTAAAATTCTAAAACATCTCTCGCATATCGGAGCCCCTTGGCCCTCACGAACGAGGGGTGCCTCTGAGCCCCTTGCCCTTCACTCACACCGAACTCGGTACATGCACAGAGCACTTACTTTTCCTCCGCCTCCTGCTTGTCTTCAGTGAGGAACGTCGACATCCATCCCCTTCCAATAGCACTGGATGGGTCATCCACCTCTGGCAACACCCGCACGTAGCGCAGCCCCTTGGCCCTCAGCTGTGCCACGAACGAGGGGTGCCTCTGCGCCAGGCGCTTGGTCAGCTCGCAGGAGGGCAGGATGGGGGTCTCCCCCCCAGTGGCTGGCGGCACTTGGCAGAAGAAGAAGAGGCGGGAGGGGTACTCCGGCACCTGCAGAGGCAGGGAAGGACGGGGAGGGGGGAAAGGGGGGGAGTGGACGGGGAGGGGGGAAAGGGGGGGAGTGGACGGGGAGGGGGGAAAGGGAGGGAGTGGACAGGGAGGGGGGAAAGGGGGGGAGAGGACAGGGAGGGGGGAAAGGGGGGGAGTGGACAGGGAGGGGGGAAAGGGGGGGAGTGGACAGGGAGGGGGGAAAGGGGGGAGTGGACAGGGAGGGGGGAAAGGGGGGGAGTGGACAGGGAGGGGGGAAAGGGGGGGAGTGGACGGGGAGGGGGGAAAGGGGGGAGTGGACGGGGAGGGGGGAAAGGGGGGGAGTGGACGGGGAGGGGGGAAAGGGGGGGAGTGGACGGGGAGGGGGGAAAGGGGGGGAGTGGACGGAGGGGATAAGGGAAGGGTGCATGAACGAGGGGTGGGTGGCTGTGACACAAGAAACGATGTTTCACGGCAACATGATAGAAGAAAAGATGTTTCTAAACTTTCGTTGATAAATATGACTGCTACGAAGGTGTAAACAACCCCCGACACTCCCCCCCCCCCCCCCCCACCCCCCCTCTTTCCCCGGAATCCCCCCCATCCCCCCATCCCCCCATCCCCTCACACCACTGCCCCCCATCTCTCCCTCTCTCCGCCCCAACCCCGGTCGCCCACTTTCCGGTCCCCCGTAGGTCGCCCACTTTCCGGTCGCCCACTTTCTGGTCGCCCACTTTCTGGTCGCCCACTTTCTGGTCGCCCACTTTGAGTCGACTCAAAAGTCTTTCCGGCCCCCCCATCTCCCCCCATCTCCCCCCTCACCTGCGCCATCTCATGGTGGAAGGGGATCTTCTGATCCGGAGGCGACTCGTTAGCAGTGAACACTCGTGGCGCCACCTGGGGGTGCAGAGGGGTGGAGAGGGGTGGATGGAGGTGGAGTTCTAAGAGGGGCGGAATGAGGTGAAGTGGGATGGGAAGCGGTGAAAGGCAGTGGAAGACGCGTGCAGGGGGGAGGCTGGAGCTGGAGGCAAGGACGCCGGGGGGGGAGGGGGAAGAAGCGGAAGGGGAAGGGGGGGTGGGGGGTGTTGGGGGGAGGGGGGGTTGGGGGGGTGGGGGGGAAGATGAGACAGGAGAAAGTTGGGGAGAGTGGTGGGGAGGAGAAAGGGGATGGAGGCCTTGGCTTGACCAATCACCTTCGTTCTCGGCGCCGCGCCGCCCACGTAAGGCAGCTCGTCCAAACCAAAGGCCTCCACGACCTCGTTAAAGTCACACGGCGACTCGAGGGGCAGACCGCGCAGCAGCACCGCGCCGTGCAGCTGCCACGTGTCCATCAGCCATTCGCGGTTCGCGCGGATCCACTCTACGACGTGGCTGACGTGAGGAGACGCCACGTCGGACGAGGGGGATGCTGACGAGGCGAGGGGTACGGGCCGGGGGAGAGATGAAGGGGAAGCGGCGCTGGTGCTTGCGTTGGGGCCATCGGCGGAAGGGGATGTGCCAGGGGAGGGCGCGGAAGGTGCGAAGGGTGCGGAGGGTGCGGAAGAGCTGGCGGGGCTGGGGAGCGTGAGCGGCGTGAGGACGAGCGGAAAGGGTAGGCGATTAAAGACCTTCTGCTCCGCGACAGTCGACTCCACCAGCTGAAACACACCGCCGCTTGCGCCGCCGCCGCCGCCGCCGCCGCCGCTGCTGCCGCCGCTGTTCTCGCTGTTATCGCCAGCCATGGATTTGACTTGCTCAGGATGACCGAACGAGACAGGTGGACGACGCGTGCGACAGTGAGCGAATTTCAGCGAAACGAGCTTCAGGTAAGAGCCACCGGGCAAACACGGCGTAAGTGGAACGACCCGTGCAGTGCGGCGAGCGCAGGACTGCGCGCTATTCGGTGGGCCTTCTGCTCCGAGTGAGGATTGAACGGACAGCTAGGAATGTGAGCGAGGTTGCTATTTTGAGCAGAGCGGGGCAGAATTCTTGGAATCCACAATGCGGGAGTGCAGGTGCGTCGCATGCGAGGTGGAGCGACCAGATGCGACGAATGAGGAAAGTGAGATGGCGACGACTTGCGAAGGAAATGCCGTACGAAGTGCAGCTGGTGGAATATTCGGGTTCGCGAAGAATCGTTCTGTAACTCAACTCGACGGGAAGAGTCTTATCGTTACATCTTTGACGGCAATGTAAGGAACTATTTCCATAACCATTTGTGACTAGTCTTGTAGTCAAACATCTCCACATAACCAGGCGCCAGTTGATTATTGTACGATTAGACTTGAGACAGTTTTTGCGCGATGTCAGCAAACACATGCCCCCGGTGCTCGAAGTTGTCAAACTCGTCGAAGCTCGCACATGCTGGGCTGAGAAGAATTGTGTCGTCTGGTGGGATTCCAGAAGCGTAGGTGGAGGAAGGTGGCCGGAGAGGGGGCAAGAGGGGGGGAGGAGGGGGAAAGGAGGGGAGGGGAGGGGGAAGGGGAGAGGGGCGGGGGTATGAGATACATGTCATGGAGGCCCCAGAAAACGATGGGGCAGAGCGAAGCCTGATGTCGTAACCACCCGCCAGGGAGAGCCGTATCTGCAGCAGCATGCATGGCTATCTCTGTTGATTCTTAGAGATCGACTAAGCACCAGAAAAAAACTGGTTGAAAAACAGCTCACCAGGGAGAGCCGTGTCCGAAGCAGCATGCATGGCCTGTTCCATTGTTTCGCACTGAATGAGAGGGGCAGAGAGACCCGAGGCTGTGAGCTCACTGGCAATGGCTGGGCCTGACTGGCCGAACTGGATGGGAGAGCGAAAGGGGGAGGGGGGGGAGGGGGGGGAAGGAGGGGAGAGGGTGTTACTCCAGTGTCCGCAGCAGCGTGCATGGCCTGCTCCGTTGTGTCACACTGGATGAGAGGGGCGGAGATACCCGAGGCTGTGAGCTCAGATGCGATGGCTGATGGCACGAGTTGTCAGACCCGTCGACGCTCACACAAGCTGGGGTTGAGGAGAACCAATTGCCGGGGAGAGCAATTTTTGCAGCCACATGAAAGGCCGGTTCTTTTGTTTCGCAATGAATGAGAGGAACGGCACAGAAACGAGCTTGGAGAAGCCGAGAGGGGAAGGAGCCACAGTGGGACTTCTCAAATGTACACATGTTACATTTACCACGCCCACAGCACAACTCACAGTGATCACGGCTCGATGGCGGTTGAGCACAGAAACGAGCTTGGAGAAGCCAAGAGGGGAAGCTGAACCTCCATCCCCTGCATCAAGAGACTTCAACACCTGGAAACCAGGAGCAAGAGGGGAGTACGTCACAGTGTTGTTACACCCCAAGCGCGGTGGAGGTAGATGCTGAAACATCAAAAGTTGCCACATTATCCCGCAGCCGTGCCCCCACACCGCGTTCCCAGTGCACCACAGCCAATTCCCCAATGCCTCTGAGCAAGTTCCCCACCATAAAACGTCTCTATCAGCATACCTTAGCAATCCCCCCTAATAGAATCACAGCCATAGATTCCTCTCCCAGCCCTTGAATCCCAGCCGTTGATGCTTCCACGTTGGTGGCCTTGCTGTCGTTGATCCACGAGCGATCCTGATCGTCCACAACCACTGGAGGGAAGGGGGGCAAAAGGGTAGGTGAGGGGGTATCAGGAAACGAGGAGGCAGAGAGGTGCTGCTTCAAGTAGCCGTTTTTCTTTAACAACAGAAAAAAAAAAAAAAAAAAAAAAAAAAAAAAAAAAAAAAAAAAAAAAAAAAAAAAAAACACAAAGGAGCACTGGAATTTTACAATGGTTTTTCAAGCTTGATCGCAGGAAGGCGTACGAGGAGACGAGCAGGCAGGGTGCCTCGTACCGGGAAGCCACTCTCACCTAGCTCCATGTGGTGTGGTGGCGGCCGCAGCACCTTCACTGCACTCTGCACTCCTTGCAAGCTCACCCCGTCGCCCTCAAGCCCATACCCAGCAGACATAGTCACCTAGCTAGCTCCATGGTGGAATCCCTTGAGGAGCCTCACACGCACTCACACATAAATCTAGTTATAAGGGTAGAAGGAAACCTTTCACGCAGTTACTCAGTCACACCCACCTAGCTCCATGCGGTGCGGTGGCGGCCGCAGCACCTTCACTGCACTCTGCACCCCTTCCAAGCTCACCCCGTCGCCCTCAAGCCCCAGCGCCAGAAACAGCAGACACATACGCAACACACACATGTATGCCACTCTCACCTAGCGCCATGCGGTGGGGTGGGGGGCGAAGCACCTGGCTGCACTCTGCACTCCCTCATCCCGCTGCCCTCAAGCCCCAGTAGCCACAACCCAGCAGCCATGTACACAACACACATGCATGCCACTCTCACCTAGCTCCATGCGGTGCGGTGGCGGCCGCAGCACCTTCACTGCACTCTGCACCCCTTCCAAGCTCACCCCGTCGCCCTCAAGCCCCAGCGCCAGAAACAGCAGACACATACGCAACACACACATGTATGCCACTCTCACCTAGCGCCATGCGGTGGGGTGGGGGGCGAAGCACCTGGCTGCACTCTGCACTCCCTCATCCCGCTGCCCTCAAGCCCCAGTAGCCACAACCCAGCAGCCATGTACACAACACACATGCATGCCACTCTCACCTAGCTCCATGCGGTGGGGTGGCGGCCGCAGCACCTTCACTGCACTCTGCACCCCTTCCAAGCTCACCCCGCTGCCCTCTAGCCCCAGCGCCAGACACAGAAGCGCAGCCACTGCAGCGTTCTCCGCATTGTGCCGCCCAACAGCCCCCAATGGAGACAGGTCCAGCGTGAGCGGAGCAGGAAACGCACAGCCACCAGCATCACCGGAAGAGGCATCGCTTCTAGAGCATGGCAGCTGCAGCAGGGCGGAACGCTCAGCATGGTCCACACAGCAGCCCGGCAGCCTGCCCAGCCATGCCATGCTGGGATGCCCCCCTGCTTCCCCAGCTAGCCGCTCGAGCAGAGGGTCGTCTGGCATTTGGGTTGCAAGAGAGAGGTTGGGAGAAGGTGAAGAGTGAGGGGAGGTTAAGGGCTGTCTCAGCATGCTGCACCCCGGAAGCTTGCCCAACCATGCCCTGCTGAGATGCCCCAGTGCTTTTTCTGCTAGACGCTCAAGGAGAGGATCCTCTGTAGAGACAGGTGGGAAGAGGGAGGAGAGTGGGAAGAGGGAGGAGAGGGGTAATAGCGTTCTCTCAGCACGGTTCACACTGCCCTCCTGCCTCCCCTGGTAGACGGTCAAGGAGAGAACCATCTGCTGTTCGTGTTGCAGGAGAGTCTTTGATTAGGAGGAAGGGGACACAGCCCACTGTACCATGATTAGGAGGGAGGGGACACAGCCCACTGTACCATGATTAGGAGGGAGGGGACACAGCCCACTGTACCATGACTAGGAGGGAGGGGACATAGCCCACTGTACCATGATTAGGAGGGAGGGGACACAGCTCACTGTACCATGATTAGGAGGGAGGGGACACAGCCCACTGTACCATGATTAGGAGGGAGGGGACACAGCCCACTGTACCATGATTAGGAGGGAGGGGACACAGCCCACTGTACCATGATTAGGAGGGAGGGGACACAGCCCACTGTACCATGATTAGGAGGGAGGGGACACAGCCCACTGTACCATGATTAGGAGGGAGGGGACACAGCCCACTGTACCATGATTAGGAGGGAGGGGACACAGCCCACTGTACCATGATTAGGAGGGAGGGGACACAGCCCACTGTACCATGATTAGGAGGGAGGGGACACAGCCCACTGTACCATGATTAGGAGGGAGGGGACACAGCCCACTGTACCATGATTAGGAGGGAGGGGACACAGCCCACTGTACCATGATTAGGAGGGAGGGGACACAGCCCAATGCCTAAGCGAGCATGATGGAATCATGGAATTCCCCCGCGTTTAATCCATGCGGTGGGGTGGACCTTGTTTAATCATGTTCGTTTAGGTCGTCTGCTCTGGAGCAAGGCTCAATGTCCCGCAAGCAACCGCAATGCATGCATCAAATCACATACCGGATGAAATGCCTGGCACATCTGACTGACTGACTCTTCTACATGCGCTGTATTTTTTATGCATGTGCATGTGCATGTGCATGTGCATGTGCATGTGCATGTGCATGTGCGTCTAATCTAGTCTCGACGCGGTACCGGATGGGATGACTGCAATGTCTGGCTCTTCCATGCGCGCAAACAGACGACACTTCGCCGCCCCGTAGCTCGCCATACTGCCGTGCCTCTCCAGGTGGTCCGGCGTGAGGTTGAGAATCACTGCAGCCTTGGGGCGGAACCTTCCAGGAAGCTCCATCTGGTAGCTGCTCACCTCCACTACTGCTGCCTGTAATGGGGGGGGGTGTTGAGAGGGTGGAAGAGAGGAGTGCAGATCGGTTTTTGAGAGTTCTAGTAAGCATATGACTGGTGAGCACGCGGACGGGCTGGTGAATGGGGTATGCAGTGGTCCCATGAGTCATGTCCACCTGGTAGAGACATGAGAATTCTGAAAAACACAACACAGTTGTCCCATGAGTCCACCTGATAGAGACATGTGTTTTGTTCTTGGTAGAGACATGAGAATTCCGAAAAAACAAAACACAGGTGTCCTATGAATCCACCTGGTTAAGACACGGGTGGTGGAAAAATGAAATGCATGCAAAAATGAAATGTGTGCAAACATGAAATGCTTGCAAAAATGAAATGCTTGCAAAAATGAAATGCGTGCAGGTTCTGTGAGCTAGCTGCTCCCCGCCACCGCTGCTGCCTGCTCAGGGGACAGGGTTTGGGTAGAGTGCGGAAGAATGGGTCGAACGATGGGAGGATGGGCAAGTGACACAAGGGGAGGTGTGCGTGGGAAGGCGGGCTGCCGCGGGTACATGGACGGTGAAATAAAGAGCCCGCTGCCACCATCTCCAAACCGGTGTTTTACAGCCTGCTGCCACGTATGGCTAAAACCACCACCATGTGGTGCTCTCTCCAACTGGCACCTGCTCACGGCCACCATCTCCTGAAACATGCAGGCAGCAGTGGTGTGCTGTCTGCACGGCAAATGGTGGTGGATAAGCGATGTGGCTGACAGAAGGGGGGAAGAGACAGCATGCATTTTCAATCAACTAGGGCGCTGGTGAGATGACAAAAGAGAAAGAATTGCGCACTGCACCTGGTAACACAACTTCGCTGCAATCACACCTGACAACACTCACACCTGAATGGGCTTTGAGCTGCCGGCGCGGCCATGCTGTGATGTGACGAAATCGAGGGCTGCCAGGGAGAGGGGCGTCCCCAGGTTCCCTCCCACGAAGGTGTGGATTCCGATGGACTCGAGGATCTGAAAGCGACGCAAGAAATGGCATTAAGTGAAGAGGGTCTACAGTTGAGAAAGGGGATAAAGTTGAGAAAGGGGATAAAGTTGAGAAAGGGGCTAAAGTTGAGAACTAGAAAAGCTCAAAAGGAAATATGTTGATTAAGGAGGTCTCAGGGAGTGATTCCTAGATATCTTAAGAACGGTGTCTATATCCCCCCCTTTCACTGACTATTGCATCCCATATTCCACGTAAGCCCCTGCCACGTCATCACCTGGCCCGCAAACGTGGCGACAGTGGACTTGCCGTTGGTCCCGGTCACGGCAGCAATGGGCAGTCCAGCTGGCAGGCAGTCATAGGCGAACGCCAGCTCAGATAACATTGGCACGCCCTGGAGGAGAAACCAGAAACCGCGGAAAAACGGGGGGAGAGGGGGGGTGTGGGGGGGGGGGGGCGGCACATTTCATAGGCGAACGCCAGCGGAGACAGCATTGGCATGCCCTGTGGACATGGTGGCAAAAGAGGAAACGGAGTTGGGGGGAGAGAGAGGAGGGCGAGAAGGGGGATTGGTGCAGACAAACATCTAATAACTTTTAGGAAGGGGCGAACGAATGCTGGAAGGAGGAGAGGGTGACATCTGGGTGACGTCTGGGTGGCATCTGGGTGACATCTGGGTGACATCTGGGTGACATCTGGGTGACATCTGGGTGACATCTGGGTGACATCTGGGTGACATCTGGGTGACATCTGGGTGACATCTGGGTGACATCTGGGTGACATCTGGGTGACATCTGGGTGACATCTGGGTGACATCTCCACCCAACCAGCTATGGTTGATTGCTTCAGGGCCTGGACGGGCAGGGAAGGGAACTAAAGGAGCAAATTCAAACACACACGACCGTTCGAAAAAGAAAACAAAAAGAGGGGGCAAAGAAACATTCGCTTACGGCTTGCGTCACACCTGGGAAAGAGCTTTGGAAATGGTGGGCTCTGAGAGAGGCACAGCAGAGCAGGGGAGAGGATGATGAGGGAGGGAAGCGGAGAGGAGGAGGGAGAGGAGGAGGGAGAGACGGTGGGGGCCTAGGCGGGTGGAGAGGCGTGCAAGAGAGGCGAGGGGGGTATTCAATGGTCTGGGCTGAAGCGCGTCAAAGTTGGTCGTACCTGAGAAATCGCCTGGGCTATGGTGGGCTCTGAGACAGGCACGCCGGGGGAGAGGACGACGAGGGCGGCGGAGAGGAGGAGGGGGAGCGGGTGGGGGCCCAAGTGGGTAGAGAGGCGGGAGGCGAGGGAAGGGGCGGAGGTGGGCTCGGGAAGTCCGTCCCAGATGCTTGGGTCATCCTGGTGGGGAAGAGTGAGGGGGGAAGGAGAAGAGGGAGCGAGCTCATGTGGGTGGAGAGGAGGGTGGGGGGTGAGATGGATGGAGAGGCGGGAGGCGAGAGGAGGCGCGGAGGTGGGCTCGGGAAGCCCGTCCCAGATGCTTGGATCATCCTGGTAGTGGCGGCGGAGAGGGGGGGGGGGGGGGGGGGGGGAGAGGGATGGGGGAGGGGGGCGGGGTGAAAGGAGAAGAGGGAGCGAGCTCATGTCCATGGAGAGGAGGGTGGATCATCATAGTGGTGGGAGAGCGAGAGGGACAGAAGCGAGCGAAGAAGTTGCATGAGGAGAGAGAGGAGGGGAGGAGGAGGGTTCAGGGAGTCCCTCTCTGCCAGACGAAGATAAGGAATACTCATGGGATGAAGAGGGACGGCAAGGCGAGTAGAGGATTTTTTAGTTGCATAAAAAATCACATGAGGGGGAGAGAGAGAGGAGGGGAGGAGGAGGGTTCAGGGAGTCCCTGCCAGACGAAGATAAGGAATACTCATGGGAACGGCAACGCAAGTAGAGGGATGCAAGGCAAGGCAATAACAGCAGCAGCTCCCCTTGCTACAAGGCAAAGCAAGTAGAGAGATGTAGAGAAGCCTTAATGAGAATTCTAAAAAAGACTCCTTTCAAACGTCCAGGGCCCACAAGGCAGAGCACAGCAGAGCAGGCGCCTCGCGTCTGTTCTCCTGTCACTATGCAGTGGACCAATAACAGCAGCAGCTCCCCTTGCTACAGCCTTGTAAGACGGCAAAGCACAATCCCCCCCCCCACACACGCTAGCCCACAAACCTCCGATGCCTTGGCGTCTGTGTTCCTGTCCACGGCAATCACAGCAGCGGCTCCTCTTGCTTGAGTTGGTAGAGTTGACTCAGGCAGCAACACACACACACACACACACACACACACACACACACACACACGCGCGCACGCACGCACGCACGCACGCACGCACGCACGCACCCACACACAGACACACACACACACACACACACACACACACACACACACACACACACACACACACACACACACACACACACACACACACACACACACACACACAGAGAGAGAAAACCACGTACCTCAAGCGCCTTGGCGTCTGTCCTCCTGTCCAGGCCAATCACAGCAGCGGCTCCCCTCGCTAGAGCCAGGCGCGCTGCTGCTCTGCCTGACGCTCCCAATCCAACCACCTGGGAGAGGCGGAGGGGGAGGGGGAGGGAGTGGGGGAAAAGAGAGGCAGAGAACACAGCGGGGCTGGAAAGTGTTGGAGGTGCCTTCAAAGCGCGCTGCTGCTCTGCATGACGCTCCGACAGAGAAGAAGAGAAGACAGCGGGAGGGGAGAGGGGTCGAGGCACATTCAAAGCGCGCTGCTGCTCTGCGTGGCGCACCCAGACCAGACCCACCACCAGGGAGGGAGGGAGGGAGGGACGGTGGGAGAGTGGGAGCGTGGAGGGAAAGAGAGGAAGAGAACACAGCGGGGGTGGAGACTGTTCGAGGTGCCTTCAAGGGGCTGCTGCTCTGCCTGACGCTCCCAGACCCACACACCTGGGAGGGAGAGTGGCAGGGTGGGGAGAAGGAGAGGAACATTTAGGACGCGCTGCTCAGCGGGCGTGGAGAGAGGTCGAGGCACATTTAGGGAGCGCTGCTGCTCTGCCTGACGCTCCCAGACCCACCAGCTGCGAGAGTGGGGGAAGAGTGTGATAGGGACGACGAAGGCGACTAGTTTTGAGGCGCCTCAAAACTAGACTCCTATCACCAGCTGCGAGAGTGGGGGAAGAGTGTGACGGGGACTCCTATCACCAGCTGCGAGCGTACGATGGCTTTGCGGAACCCTCACTCGGTACGAGAGTATGATGGCGGTCGTCAAGGTACAGAGGCTCTGCAGAGAAACCCTGCTTATGAGGCGTCTCGAAAAGGGGAGGAGACGACAAGGGGACGAAGAGGGGGGAAAGAGGGGGGGGGGCCGGGGGAGTGGGGGGGGGGGGGGGGGAGGGGAGGAGGGGGGGGAAAGGGGGGGGGGGGGGGGGGGGGTGGGCAGAGGCTGCTGGGAGAAATGTTGGTGGTCTGCGAGGAGAAATGATCAATTCCTTTTTTTTTTCCATCATGGTGGTCTGCGAGGGGTCACAGCAGTGGCCTTTGACGAGAGAATACGAGGGGAAAGACGAATAGAAACGAGAGCGTCCCTTAGGAATAGAATTGAAGTTGAAGAGGGGGATCAGCTAAGAGGTGACCGTACCACGATGGTCTGACCGGCCAAATCGCCGGGGGGAGTATCACACGTAACGGCCGAACCCGCGTTCGACCTGTCGGCAGATGCAACCACCATCCGCTGTTGATCAGGTTTCATCGCCACCGAATCCCTGTCAACAGGGGTGACACTATCGAAGGATATGCGGCTTGATCCTGTAACGAGGATATTCTTCACATCGGCTGACTTTCCTGTATCGAAGGAAACGGGTGAGCGGTAATAGCGATTCCGCCTGTCGCTATTGCTAACTGGCAGGATGGTCAACGCTGTCGTGGGGTCTTTATTCGGAGGAGAGACGACGGTAGAAGCTGGAATGAAGGGAATCGTGGCGGCACTGGAGAGCTGGGAAGGTGGGATCGCGATCCGCGCATAAGCAGCCATTTAGAACAGATCGGGCAAAGTGCTACCCCGCGTGCTAACAGTCTACGGAAATCAGAATGTTCTCTACAGCCGACGCTTAATTGAGGCTGCCATGGTGATGTCCCAAGATACGGTAAGAATTTCACGTTCAAGGAAGATCCGCTGCTACTCATATAGGGCGTGTCCAGAGCGTTCACTTTGCCCTAACACGCGATTTTTACGTCTTCTGTACATGTTCAAAAACATGTTACGGCGAGTTTAGCTGTCACAAGGCTTACCTTTCGACTGCAGCGAGAATGCTTGACTCGGCCTTGTGTCTTGCCTTCGACACGACAAATGCTCTGTACAGAAACAAAAACGAAAGTGCTTGGCGACATATGTGGAGTTACATTATTCAGCCTGAAAAAGAAAACCTCCCTAATTTTGCCACGGCATTGAAGAAGTTGCACGAAAATGACGAAGTGGTGTGGTTTCTCTTCGCCAGCCAGAATTTGTCGTTTCTGGCAGTGGGTACCATTTCCAGCCGCTTTCGAAACGTGCGGAACACGACTGCTGGTACACTTCGAGAGCGTCCAGTTAAAGCTCAGATCCCAAGGTGCAAGGCGCGAGCTTTTTTGCTAGCTGTTATGAATAATAACTTAGAGTGCGCGGAATAATAATGACGAGTACAAGAAAGATAGCCTAGCATTATATAGCGAGTGCTCTAGCTAGGCGACGAACCCGGAGGGCTAGGTTGGGTAGAGGCGCGGTCGAAAGGGTCAGAGGCGGCGCGGGCGTGCCTCGGGGTCGCGTCAGAAACGGACCGAGCCTGGTCTTCCGAGAGTTCGGGTGTACGCAATTGCAGTACAACCCGGTAAGGAATAAAATTCCTTACACTAACAATATCGCGGAGCAAAAAGGTTGGTAACCCCATGCACCCGGATGAAACTGAGCAATGACCAGGGCTGACTTTATCAGACTATTTACTCTGATTAGTCTGTAATCTCAGACCGGTTTTTTTGCTAAACCTGAATTTCCAGATAAGGCATTTTCCCAATCCTGATCGATTCAGACTTAGACTTTAGGGATCCTGAAAAAATCAGAGTTCACGCTAACCCAATACTGAGTTTTCAGAGTACATCGGGTACGAACCCTGAAACAGATTTCCACGGGGCACGCAAGATCCCTAGAAATTTCGCATGCCATCAGTGATTCCCGCCCGCGTCACGTGGAGAATCCACACTTCCTTGAAAAATCCGCCAAGTCCAATGAATACTCTGCCCACAGTGGGCACTCTGCTACCCAGCGCAGCAAAAATGCTGCCATGCCGAGCCACTAAGGACCACAGATTCTGCTCTGTTGCTCTCTGTGCATGCGCGAACTTCGGGCCCGTGCCCTCTGTGCCAGCCTTGCAGAGGTTGGCCATCATCCCCATTGGCTGCAGTTGCAGCCAACACATCGACTAGGCAGCATGGCGCTGTGTTGTGCATGGACAAGTCCCGAAACCGCGTCACGCCTTTCAAGAAAGGTGCGACACGGGTTTGATGGACCCCTTCTTCTCCAGTTGTTCCTTACCCACCAGCTTCGAACGCACTGCTTCAGGTTTTAGAGGGGAAATCCTTCATGTTGTTCATTTCGACACAGACGTAGTTGTAGTCACTGTCTTCATTTCCTACACGTCGTTTCTCCTCTCGCCATGCCTGAAAAGGATGGCGACGACGATGCTCCAGCTGACGGTGATGAGCCGCGCAGCAGTAAGGTTCCTGTCGTTGCGCCAAGGAGCGCCCTAGATGTCTTGCGGCCCGTTGCCGCATCGGCTCCTCCGCCTTTTGTCGCCACAACCGTTGTAAACGAGACCCCACGCGATGAGCCATCGTTGCCTAGTAGACCTGCCCCCGCTCCGTTCGTTCTCCCACCAGCCATAGCATCTTCTAGCAGAGGACCAGTGGATCCTATTGACTGCGCCACTGCCTCTACCGTTCGTTATAATGTGCCCTGCGCATCGACTGTCTCTTCGGCGAAGAAACAACGTACGACGAAGTATACACAGCAGCGTATCAACTCAGGTGGCCAGATTCGCCCTCCCTCACCACCGCGCTCACCTACCCCCCTCACCCGCCCTGATGAACCGCCGCCACCGACGCTAAGTACAGAGGAATTGATCGAGCAGAAGTACCTAGTCGCGGAGGCTAAGTATAAGAATGATTGGCTGCGTTATTTCCCATGGCTTGTACTTACCCGTACTAAAGATGGCTACCCCGCTCTTAAGTGCAGCGTTTGCCGAGCCTTCGGCAAAGAAACGACGAAGTATTCAAGGCCAGGCGACGGCGGGCGAGATCTCCAGACACAGACGATGCGCATTCATGAACACTCAACAGTCCACGAAGCGGCAGTTCGCCGGCAGCTCGAGATTCAAAAGGAAATTGAAGACAAGCAGCAGAAGATGACAAGCTTCGCCACCGTCGATGTCGAAGGCCGCCGCGTCATCCGTCTTTTGCGGTGCGTGGAATTTCTTTGCAAGAACGACGCTCCTATCGCCATGTTTCCCCGGCTGCTTCGTTTCATGGCAGAGCAAGACACACCAGACATACCTCTCCAGTCGTACGGAGTGTATCTCACCAGGTAAGGCTACCTGGCTTTCGCCGGTTGATGGTTGGATTTTGATATGAACCTTGTAAATTTCAATGCATTTCCAATGCTAATTACCCAGTGTCTCACTTCTGATTATGCCACTGCAGGTACGGGTTCCAGCAGATGGTCAACTGTCTCTCTACGCATCTGCTGGCTGCTCAGATGGAGCACATCAAGAGCTCACCTTACCTCGGCATCTCATGCGATGAAAGCACCGACCGCACGCGGGGAAAGCACTTGATCGTCTACATCACATTCATGCGGCTGCGTCGAGTCGTCACCGAATTCCTAGCCCTGCTAAACGTTGACAAGTGCGACGCCGCTTCTCTTATGGCCACTCTCTTAGCCCACCTGGAGTCGTCCGGCATCGACCTCCAACGCATCGTTGGCATCAGCACAGACGGCGCGTCGGTGATGGTCGGCCGAGACAACGGGCTTGTGGCGCGACTGCGAGACATCATCCCGCACCTTTTTTTCTCCCACTGCATCGCCCACAGGTTTGTTAAAGTATTCCTTGCTGTCTGTTTATGCTTCTTATGTTTCTGTGTGCTAACCACTACCCATGTCGGTACATGCAGAGAAGCACTTGCTGTGAAGGATGCTGCCGCTTCATGTCCAGACCTCGACATGGTCGACAAAGTCACTCGCACCCTTGCGGACCTTCTCGGCCGGTCGAGCGTATGGAGCAGTCGTTTCAAGCATCTGCAGCGGGCGATTCACAGCACCAACCTTGAGGTTCAAGGCATCCATCAAGTTCGATGGTTGTCCAGGGGAGAGGCAATCCGACGCCTGTGTAAAGTGTTGGGTGCTGCGATTGTTCTGCTGTATGAGTATGAGCATCCCCTGTATGAGGTTGTCATTTCGTATAAGTTTCAGTTTTGCCTCTTCTACCTGGCCGACATGCTGGCACTCATGAACGACCTCAACCTCAAGTTTCAGAAGCGAGAGGTAAGATGCTCATGTTTGCAAGCATGGTGTTCTCCTCTGGTGCAAGTACTCATGTCTTTCACTCCTCTGTGTCCCCCCCCCCTCACACCGCAGGTCGATGTCACAGAGGTGGCAACGGACATCGACGCGACACTGGGGGATCTGCGGCACCGCTATGTCGACTTCGGGGAGATTTTCGGTGTCGGCGCCGAAAACACCTGGCTCTCGGCGTTCCTCGCGGTGTACGGGCGCGGCGGAACGAAGCGGGTGAAGGTGCGCGGTATCGACTTGGAGGGGAACCCCGTCACCCATACGTACAAGATGCACGAGCGGCACCTCGACAAGCACCAGTACGGGAGCAGCTACAAGGACTGCGTGCAGCTGTGCCAGAAGCACGCCAAGGATACCATGACCAACGTACAGGAGCGGATGCTGGATCTGCGCAAGATGTCGCCGACGAAGCTCTGGGTGGCGGCGAAGTGGCCGAGACAACGGGCGCAGCGCGAGAAGAAGACGAGAGAGTATCTGCTTGGATGCAGCGGAATCTTCGAGCACAAGCTGCCAGGCTTCGACGTGAAGGCAGCGGAGAGGGAGCTCGCAACTTGGGCGCCGATCATGCAGAATCATCACGAGGTGGAGAGTTTCCACCAAGGCCTGGCAAACTACCTCACGAAGACGGACTCGAGCAGGCAAGTCCAACCATATTGTCGTTTCTGAATCACCACCTTCCATTCTACTTGCCAAGTGTGCACAACATCGCCGCCCTTGCCAACCGCATCTTTGTGTTATCCGCCTTCACTGTATGCATTTCCTACTGCCTTTCTTCCGCCTCTGTTTCTGTGCCCCGTGTCAGGCGCTGGCCCAATCTGATGCGCCTCTGGCAGGCCTGCGCCGTGCTGCCTTTGTCAACCGTCGAATGTGAGAGGGGCTTCTCTCGGCAGAATGTGATTAAGTCCTGGGTCCGTGGCTCACTCTGCAACGCGCGCCTCTCCGAGTTGATGGCCATCTCGCTGCTGCAGTATGACATCAATTGGACCGAAGCCCTAGCGACCTGGCGAGAGAAGCTGAGACGGCCAGCACGATCTGTTGTCTTCGCAAGAGCGGAACGAAAACGCAAGGGGAAGGCCCTAGAGGGTGAGGTGGCGGGGGACACAACGGATGGACAGGGGGAGGTGCCAGAGTACGCGGGGGAGGGGTGGGCTGGGGAGGATGGGGGTGATGATGAGAATGATGCGGCTCCAACATTAGGCGACGACCCTTTCCTGTCCGACGATGAGGGGGGTGATGATGAGATTACTGTAGATGTGCCGGAGTTCTAGGTGCCTGTTAGCTAGTGGTGATTGCTTGGTTTGGTAGTAGTAGTTGTAGATAGGCTCCTGTCCAATGTAGCAAAATGTAATACACAAGAATAGCTTTTCTTAATAACATAAAATGTAACCCTGAGTACATTTGCGCGATCCTGAGAATTTCAGAGTTGCACATCTCTGGACTCTGACATTTCAGAGTCCCTAAATTCTGGCTGAAGGCCATTCAGACTTTTTTTTTTTTGGGGGGGGTCAGCTCAGAG